AAGGCTCATATAATATCCGTCCGGACACCGCACATACAGATGACCAACTACTGAGCGCCACATCGTCATACACCTCATTCGTAGGCGATGTGGCTATCAGTGGTCGGTCTTCCTAACGTGCGTAAGATAGAATATTTTTTCCCTAATTTTGGTTTTAGATATATAAATACATAAAAATTGTGACATTTGGTCTTAAGGAGGTGGTAGTCGAATTGCGAGAAACATTAGGGGTGGCTAAAGGCTCATATAATATCCGTCCGGACACCGCACATACAGATGACCAACTACTGAGCGCCACATCGTCATACACCTCATTCGTAGGCGATGTGGCTATCAGTGGTCGGTCTAAGTGTGTGATGTATAGGTCTCAGCCTTTCCCTTAAATTCAATAATCTTATTCATCTTTGTTCTGGAAGAGAGAGAGAGAGAGAGAGAGAGAGAGAGAGAGAGAGAGAGAAACCTTCTTTCTTCATCCATGGCGCCATCGCTGCAGTCAATCTTATCAACACCATCCTCACCAATGGGGAGAGTAGAGAAGGCAACAAGCTCTGTTCTCATGGCTCCAAACTGGCTCATAAATACGGACATAACCCACACAATAAACTCCAATCCATGGTTAGTTTTTTTCATCAATTCACAAATCTATCTTTACATATCTAACATCTAAATTTATCTTTTTTTTACATATATACCACCCAAATCTTTCATTATGTAAAAAACAAAAGTTAATGCTGTGCAATCATGACCAAACCAGGAAGGCAAAACCTTTTGTCAAGGCTGTGAAGAAACGCCTGCGAAACAAGAACTCCAGGGTTCAGTTCCTTGCTCTGACGGTATGGATGTAATCTTTCATTGACCTTTTTGTGCAATTGTAATAGTTTGTGGGGAATAATTGCAGCTTTTGGAGGCGATGGTGAAGAATTGTGGTGATTTTGTGCATTTTCAAGTTGTGGATGTTGGAATCCTGCAGGAAATGGTCAAGATTGTAAGAAATACTGTAAGTTCTGTGCTCTTTAAGTATTTTTATAGACTATTTTTCATAAATAAATTAATTTATTTAAAAAAATTTTAAAAAAAATAATACAATAAATGCATTAAAAATATTATTAAAATAACCGTAACTAGTAAGTTTCGTGTTTATGTTCTCATATATGTGTGAGTTACAAGTAAGTTATAGAGATGTTACATGAGGTATAATATGGATAACCCTTCAATACCATCCATATAACCTACCAATGCACGCAAATATCTGCTCAATTACACATCCAATGACCATTTCATGTAGAATATTTTAAGAAAATTATTATACTTTTCTAATTGACCTAAATTTTTTTTTCTTCATAAAGAGAAGAATGCATCATCTTATATACCTAAAAATTAGAGTTATATTTCTTCACAATCAATAATTAAAGCTATAGCATTAGCAATTGAGCATAGTCCTCAATTGTGTAAATTTCTCCCTTCCCAATCGGGTTGTCAAAAGAACTTGTTAGTGAACAATCAAACAACTTAGGTTAGACTCATTAAATAGCGTGTTTTTGAATCGTTCATTAAGCGAGCCAAACACGTAACACACTTTTTACGCTCGAATTATAAGGGGGCCGAACACAAATAATCATTCATTCAATCATGTTCTGGTCGTTTAACCAGAAAAAAAAAAGAATATAAATCATTTAGTATAATAATATATTATATATATTTATATCTAAACATCATAATTTATGTGATCATGTTCTGTATTTTTTATTGTATAAATGGCAAAAATTTTAGTACTGCTGGAATATTTTAGTACTTATGTTATTCCTCAGAGAAATATGCAAGTGAGGGAGAAAATTTTAGTACTGCTGGAATATTGGCAAGAGGAATTTGGTGGGCCCAATGGAAAGTATCCGCAATACTACTACACATACGCTGAACTTAAGGTAAGCATTTACATATATACCACTCAAATCTTATGTATTTACATATCTAACACCTAAACTTTACTTTTTACATATACAACACCTAGTTTTTTCATGTCAAAATTGAAATAAGCCGTTTCATGCAGAGGTAAAGTGGCACATATGTAAAAATTGAAGTTTAGTTGTTATATATGAAAATACATAGAAATTGAGTGGTATTTATGTAAAACTTCCTAAATAAAATCATGAAGTTTTTCAAGGGTTGTCGCAAAGAAAATGAAAAAAAAGGCAAAAAAAAAAGAGGGGCATTTACATACATACCATCCAATTTTTATATATTAACATATAGAGCACGTGAACTTTACTTTTTACATTTATACCACGCAATCTCTCCTTTCACATCAAAAAAATCTCACTATTTCAACTTTTAAAAAGTGAAATAAATCATTTTTATATATAGATAAGGTGGCATATATGTAAAAATTGAAGTTTAAGTGTTAGACATGCAAATACATAACAATTGGGTGGTATTTATGTAAATCGTCCAAAAAAAAGGAATAGATATACAGTACTCTGCTAAATAGATTAGAGCTCTATTTAGGCCATTTTAAACATTATAGGCATGTTTGTGTACCTTTTTTCATTACTTTGATACACACTTGTTCATAAGCCAACGGTGGCCTCCCCAGCCTGCATGATATCTGAAATAAAATTGGAAGATTTACATACATACCACTCAATTCATATGTATTTACATATCAAACACCTAAATTTCAATTTTTACATACATCCCACTTTACCTATGCATGAAAAAGGTGAAGTTTTGGTTATAAATACATCGGAATTGGGTGATATGTATGCAAATGCCCCCAGTAAAATTCTACCTGCACGAATTTACTGCATTAGGATATAGAACAGTTAAGTATAACAAGTAAATGATCTGCAGATATTTTTTAAAAAAATAATTACAAATTCGTCTTTTCTGACGATCGAGCGTCTTCTGTACAGAGGTCCGGCATACGGTTCGTACAGAGCCAAGTAGAAGATGATCTGCCAATAACAAATGAAACTCAAGTAGTCGAAAGATTTGATGAAGTAATGGCATCTGAAAGGTATCATTTCATGTTATTTAACCACAGTGTTTTCTGTATGATTCTTTTCTGGGAACATTTACATGCATATCACACAATTCCTGTATATTTATATATCTAACACCAAAACTTTGATTTTTACATGTGTAGGATTATAAATATAAGAACCAAAGTTAAGGAGTTAGATGTGTAAATACATAGAAATTGTGTGTGGTGTACGTAAATGAACCTTTTTTTTCAGCACACTATTCTTATTTGTTCGTCTGTTATTGCATCTTCAGTTTCACAGATTTGGTAAATATAAAAAATGTTATGGACTTATTCAACAATATGCTGCAGGCTATCAACCCAAAAGATGATGAAGTATAGTCTTATTTCCACACTTTTTTTTTGTCATTTGATCTTCTTTTCAGCTTCTGAAGCATTAAAAGCATATCTTATTGAATCTCAGGCAATCAAAGATGAAGTTATTACAGATCTTGCCAGTCAGTGTCGTATAAACCAGAAGAAGCTCATGCAGCTGATTGACACAACCGAGTAAGTTTATGTTGATGATATTGTGATTTTTTTTAACATTAAAAATAAATTTAGGATAAATCACATAAAAATAACAACTAGTCGGTTGGTGGGGCTTTAGAAGCTGTTACTGAAGTCTTGGGTTTGATTCTTCCCCACATAGGAATAATCCCCCAAGATGCAGGCCTTTTGGGTGGGAGAAAAAAGAGGCATTTAGATACGGTTGAGAGTCATGTGTAATAAGAAAGTTTTATCGAGTTTGTTTGTAACACATTGTAACTCCTATTTAAAAACATATGCTGAATGAAATACCCAATGAGGACTACTTTAGCCCACATTAAAATAGTCTAGAGTAATAAGAAAGTTTTATAAAGTTGTTTGTAAAACATTGTAACCCCTATTTAAAAACATATGCTGAATGAAATACCCCATGAGGACTACTTTAGCCCACATTAAAATAGTCTAGGGACCAATTTAGCAATTCTATAAATTCTAGGATTAAGATAACCCCATGGAAATAGCTAGGGGGCTATCTTGACACTTTACTCTTTCTTTTGAAAAATTTGTAACTAAACTTCATTCAATTTGCTAAATATTGCCAGGAATGATGGCTTCCTGCGTGAAGCACTTGCAACGAATGACAGCTTACAAAATGCACTTTCAAAATATGACGCACTTATAAGACCAAGCGTCCCTCCTCCCCTTGCTCCTGCAATCGCTGAACAATCTGACGACAAAGAGGAAGAAGAAGATGGTTTTTCACATTTAGCAAATAGGTCGGTGCACCTACTCAGACAACTTCTACTCACCAGTATGACCTCAATTCTATATTACAATTATGAAAAAACATGCTTCTATTTCTACAGGAAATCTTTACTTAAAACAACTGGAGAACAAGAGATCTCAGCAAACAAGGATGGTGTAGACAAAAGCGATGCATTGATCGTATTTGATCCCCCAGCGCCAGCTGATTCTTCCAAGAATGAAAGAGACATGATTGATCTCCTGAGTCTCACATTATCTCCTCAAACAGATATGCCGTCGCCCCCGCCACCGCCTACAGCTAACCAGAATCAAAATCCATTCTCCAATTCTCCCAATTGGGAAGAGTATCATAACTATTCTCAGCCACGTATGCCAAATGAAGGATATACTACCTATAACAGTTACATCGCACCTTGGTCTCAAGTTGATGTTGTTGAACAATTACCACAGTATACAAATAACTATCTAGCCACACCATGGATTTCTCCTGAAGCAAGCTTGAACCCCTTTGTATCAGCAACATCCACTCAGACCCAATACCCGGAATCTCAGTCTAGAGCGGTTATAGGTTCCTCTGCTTCAACTGGGATAGCAGAGAATTCCAAAGCTCTACAGAATTTTCGCTCATTTGGGTCGAAAGAAAACCAGATATATGCCACTCTAATAAATCTGAGAGACCCTTCCAGCGCTCCAAAACCATACAAGCCAGACAATCTATTTGACGATCTGATAAAGTTGAGGAATTCGGATGGGAGTCTGAAAACCAGAGATGTATCAAGTCTCTGGGGATCAGGGCAAGGCATGGCAAGTGTTAAGTGATAAGGTCATAATGGCTATGTTGCGTTACTAATAGCCATGCAAAGTGGTTCCATGGTGTGTGAATATCATGAGAAGTGATGGCTTCTTCCCTTTCCTCTGCAATGATTGATTATATTATATTATAGTGTTTATGAGACTTGGATTTTATTGACTTGATGTATGAGTTTGTTTGGATCTTGCAACCCTTTTTGCATCTATTGTAAAGTATTTTATTTTGAAAATTGTTATTTTATTTTTTTTCCTACTTGAATGGATCGCCTAATTCAAAAAGTCATGGATCTAGGATCAGCTCAGGGTGGGCAAATACTTACCCTAACATGTATGCTTTAATGTGCATCATATCTAATTTTATGCACCCCTCCCCCTCAATAAATCATTTTACCTAATAATTCATAAAAAAAATAAAAATATTGAAAAAGAAATGCTTAACTTAATTCCCAATAAATGGCCTATTTTTTGTTTTTATTAATATTAATTTATTTACATAAACAGTTTTCCTACCCTCATAAAAGAGTTTAGTTTCACCCCTAACGACCGATAATAGATACATAATTGATTTTGCCTATTAAATGCCACCTAAATAACCTTATTATATAATATCCTTGAGAAAATCTTGTTTAGAGAAATCTTTTATAAAGAACCATCGTTATTTCAATTGATTGTTTTTGTTTCCTTTGCTTCATTTAACTCCCTTTATTTTACCAAAAATCATTTATGAATTGAGATTGCTTGTAAGATGAAAAACACACTCAGAAATTCTAAGAACAAGAAACTCCTTACAGCGAGCTGATTAAAGGCAATCGAAGCTCAAGGATTGAACTAATGAAGAGCGAAACTTTGAGGCTTAAGAAAAAGAATAGAACACCGCAGAATTTCTTAGACTTTCCAATGGCAGCATTTCCATATACATTGATGTTCAACAAGGAGAATTAAACACCTTAGGCTTCTTATAAGATTTTAAAAAGTCAGTTAGCACTTTCATTAGATATTTTGTGTAATGATGCATGAAGTCACAATTTGTGAAACGATAATTTAACACATAAGATTATTTTATTGTGGTCATAACATGAAATAAAATATATTTATAGTATCTTTAAGTATAAGAAAGTAAATATTTATAGTAATTTGATATGTTAATGTATTTTTGAGCTATGCGGCCTCTTTTACTTAAATTAAGGCATAAATAAATAAGGAATGTATCACATAAATACCACTCAATTGTTATGTATTTACATATCTACCACCTAAACTTCAATTTTTACATACAAGCCACCTTAACTATGAATGAAAAGGTGTATTTTACTTTTTAAATGTTAAAATAGTGGTAGCATTGATGTGATATGAAAGATTTGGGTGGTATAAATGTAAATGGTAAAGCATAGGTGTCAGATATGTAAACACAGGAATTTGGTAGTATGTATGTAAATGCCCCATAAAATAAATAACCTACACAAGTTATTGAAGCTTGAAACCTTTATGCTTACATTCCACATAGCTGTAGAGCTAAATTATAGTCCTGCAAATCTTGAATGTTTCTTACAGCCCATCTTGCTGCATGGTTGTACCACACTTAAATAAAACAATGAAAAAGCTCATTGAAATGAGGTTTTTTTCACTAAAATTAGTAGTCCAAATTAGACTCATGGAACCAAAAATGTATGCTTTAATATGCACCATATCTTTCTTATGCAACAAATTATAACATCCAAGGACGTGATGATGCTAGAAATGCTACTGCTAGTTTTATTTTCATGTTTGATGGAGGTAAAATATTAAAATATCTTCAAAAATAAATAAAAAAAAGTGTGTGGAAAAATCTACAATTAAGGCTAAATAAGAGATTTTAATTTATCTGCTTCTAATTAAGTGTTGCCGACATGAGAATGCTTAGGTGGATGAGTGGTTTTACACTCAGAAACAAAATGCGAAATGAATATATCCGTGATAGGGTTGGTGTAGCTCCAGTGATGGACAGAATTAGAGAAAGTCCTCTTAGATTGTTTGATTACATTAAACTTCGACCATCTGATGTACCGATTAGGAGATTAGATGTTTTAGATTCGACTTATGTTAAAAAAGGCAATGGTAGACCAAGAAAGACTTGGGCATATTGTATAAAAATGATCTTAATTATTATAATTAAATGAAAATATGGCACCTAATAGGACGCAACGGAGAAAAAAGGATTCATGTAGACGAGCCCACTTAGTGTGATAAAGGTTTGTTGTTGTTGTTGCTTCTAATTTTATTTTCAGCTTTGGGTGCATTCTCTTGGAAAAGAAAAAAAAATCGCTCAATCTACAATAGAAGATGAATATATAACTATTAATTTAGCTACAAAAGTTAAAATTTCAGAGGCTTCAAATGGCGTTATGTAGTAACAATATTTTGATAAAATAATTCACCAATTACAATGATTAAGAATCACAAGTGTCACTCCAAAGTAAATCGTATTGAAGATAGAACTACATTAGAATTATCATGCATAATTTAGCAGATTCAGCAAACAAGTGCTCAACAGCATGTTCAAAACATGGGATTAAAACGTAAAGATTGAATCCAAAATTGTACAGGCCAATGGCATTTATGGCACAGCTTCTTAGTGGCTAATACTTATTACAGAAATGAAACGTAATTCAAATTTCAAGTTTCTGGCCATGAAATAAACGGAGCCTATTATGGGCTGTTTCCTTTGCTGAAAAATTGATGCAGTGTAAAAGGAATCAGTGGTATTGAAATATAGTGTATAAAGAATATTTTAGAGTTATTTGGTTTGGGTTAGAACAAATGCATTCATTTCTATCTTTTTTTGTTTGATTTGAAGAAAAATAAAATTAATGTAAAACAGGCAGAGGTGGTGGCTGCAAACCCCGGTCGATGATGATGGTGGTAGCGTCGACCTATGACGGTGATGGCCGGGGTGCAGTGGTGAGCCGCAGTCAGGGGCAAGCAGCTGCCAATGATCAAAATCAGAGGGTAATGGATGATGGACGGAAGCAGGGGTTGGCAAAGGCTACCTGCAGTGGGGGGCAGCAAGCAATAGGCAGCCAACAAAACTTTACACTAGAGGTATATTTGGAATTTATTCAAACTCCAGTGAATTCCAATTATACTGAAATGAACTAAATAGTGAATTCTGATTACTCCTAAAGCTTATTCTACAATTCGCATGTAAAACAAATGCACGTATTCAATTTACTTCACAGCCCCTTTTCACTAGGTCAAACAGCCACATATATAAAGAAATCTACTCCCAGACTCCAATACAATGGTATTTATATTGTGGGTCTATATTGATTACATTAGCATAAATATTATTGTTTATTGAGATAATGCTTAAAATCATGGTTCCTTCTTTTTAATTGACATCAGTGTGAGTTTGTAGAAAATTATGATTTCATGTATATAAAATAATTTATTTATTTTTTTAAAAAAAGGCAGGAGAAAGTATTACAAATAATACATATCTAAAAGAAAATAACTATGCTTGATAACTTAAATAAACATTTAAGTTTTAAATGAATAGCTACAAAACGATTTATATTTTGTATGGAATATAAAGGAAAAAACATAATAAAAGTGGCTATACTTTATTTTTAGGCTAGAAAGTGACAGAGAAGAGCATGAAGTTACCATTAAAAAGTAGAGCCACCAAATCACAAATAAACATTTTTTTCTTTCCCATTGAAGAAAAAAAAATTGAAAAAATTGTAAAATAATTTCATGAGATCACAGCACAAGAAATATTAAATATGAATCTAAATCTTTAAGAATAAGAAAATTTATGAAAATAATGTATGAATTGCAAGTCAAATGTCAAATGAGTTCTATTAAGTTGAGGGATGTTGGCATCCATTTTTGATGCGACATGCAAGGGACATCTTCGCCGAGTGACACAATACTATAAATGGGGTCTACACCGTCATAGCCGTGCTTCGAGCTGATTGTTGTCAAACCGGCATCGCCACCAGCATCCTCTATGTTGACATCTGTTCCTCTGGCATGGGGTTGTATCTAGTTAGTACAGATATTCTCGTGACGCGGACCGCCAGCGAAGTTACCCAACACCATGTTCGTACCTTAAACCAAAAGTCTAGATAGACGAATTTTATGTTGGAGCTATTCTACTCGGCAACACGTAGACGGTTCATCCTCTCTAGCTCTCTTGAAATGTGTTCATGACCTTCACGGAGGTCCCAAGATCAAAACTGCTCGTATCCAATTCTTCAGAGGTCCCACGAGACTCGTAACTGCCTTGGTGAGCTTTTTCGAAAGCCCAACTTGTGTAGAATTCAGCGCGTGTGCGCCTGATTCAAGCATGACCACGCCCAACCCATGGCGTTCTTATGCCTAAATCGAGCATGACCACACCAAAAACTCCTCGAAGAGCTCAAGCGACCTACAGACGACGTGACCGCACCCAAAGGTGGCGTGACCACGCCGACATAGAGAGTTTGGAGTAATTACACCACAGCTTAGGCGTGACCATGCCCAAATCGCAAGAGGCATCCAGGTTCGTCAACCGACATGACCACATTGACTAAACAGTGCGCTCAACGTAATTACATCGTGCCTCGAGCGTGGCCATGCCAGATTCCTGTTCGCGATGTTTTCTACAGTAGCGTGACCACGCTCGAATGCATCGTAGCAGGGACCCCGGATTCCCATCGGTGTGGCAGCCATGACCGGTGGTCCACCCCCTTCTGCTCCGGTATTCACCTAAACCTGGCATGGGGACTATTTTTGGTCCATGCCAAATGGGGAAAACGGCTTGAGGCCCTTGGACATCTTCCCTAGAGCAAAGAGGGGTAGGCTGGCCATTTTTGCTAAGGATCGGCTGCCATTTGCTTAGGGAGAGAAGCTTTGGAGCAAAGGGAGGATCTAAGGAGCTTTCAAAGAGTTTGTTGAGAGTATTCTTCTTCTTCAAGAAGAAAATAAATCAAGCCCATTTCCTCTATTTTCCTCACTTCTTTTACTTTGTCGGTCATCTTCCTCGTCCCCAACGACTTTCGAGGAGCCGACGAGGAAAGCTTCCTCACTACTTTGGGGAAGGAGAGCTCCAGCGACCTCCTCATTCTCTTTAATGAGGAATGCTTCTTCACATCTTTGGAGAAGACAAAACCGACGGCCTCGTCACTCTCTCCCGGAGGAGAGCTTCTTCCTATGAGAGCAACGCTTAGATCAACCATCGCGTAGATGAAATCCCTTAATCTCTTGCAAT